AATCCAAAGCAGTTGCAAACCAAGGTACCATTGTATATGTGAATTATCAGATGACTGAATCATCTTTGTTGCCACACTCTTATGGCCCTTCCCATCTAAATGGTTTATTATCAGTGTTGATGTGGCCCCCTCTGTGAATGAGGTAAGAAGAAGAAGAAGTGGTGAAGGGAATGCCTGCGTAAACAGGTGCGTCTTCAAAAGCTGGCAGAATGTCCCCCTTTACTCTAAATAAGTGTGTGTATATACAAAAAACAACAACCGCACTGTAGCACTAAATACAGTCGTGACATCCCCCCCTCTCCAAATTTGCATGCCTGAAAGCATCAGTGAACTTTGCCCCATTAAGAGACTCCTTACATTCCAGCATCCATATTCAAACCTGAGATGTTTGATCTACAGTGGTACCTCAGGTTACATACGCTTCAGGTTACAGATGCTTCAGGTTACAGACTCCGCTAACCCAGAAATATTACCTTGGCTTAAGAACTTTGCTTCAGGATGAGAACAGAAATCGCACAGCAGCGGCGCGGCGGCGGCAGCGGGAGGCCCCATTAGCTAAAGTGGTGCTTCAGGTTAAGAACAGTTTCAGGTTAAGAACAGACCTCCGCAATGAATTAAGTTCTTAACCCGAGGTACCACTGTATTGGTATCATGAACATACTTGAGCAGTTTTGAGTTGGTGCATACATGTATACAAGAAACCAGATTGTGCAGTTTCTCTCCCAGGTGATTTATGGGATTCCATTGCAGGAAAACTGCCTGCCTGCTTGTCTCTGAGCCTCATGGAATGGGAACATAGCAGCTTCTTCCCTCTGAACTATCACCTTGTCCAAGACTAGTTGGAACAGCCTGGATTTTTGTAAACAACCTCTGGCAGTCCTTTCCCCCACTTCTTCCCAAAAGCTTGGAAGATGCTTCAGAGCTCAGTAGGCAAAACAAGCTGGAAAAGCCAATACATGCTTATAAATAGAAGGACCACAAGCACATAAGCTTTGTCTCAGTTTCTGTTTTTCTTCTGCAAGTTTCAACACCAATGTAATCCAAGCATCGTGGCCTGACTGGCACCTCATTCCTCAGTTTAGCTCACTTTCAAAACCCAGGTGTTTTTTGAGATTCAGGCAAATGACCAATAAAACTGCCCTTGCTGAGTTTTCTTCTTACTCCATTTCTTCCTCCTTTTGTATATCTGCTGTGATGGGCCCATGTCCTATAACAACTTTATTTTCACCATGGGACCCCAGATGTTCATTTATTTACAAGGTGGCTTACAATTTGTTTGCGATACAGCCGCTTTGAATCCATTGAGTTCCATCACTCATTTCCTTTAAGTCACAGATTCATTTGCAACTATCTCCACTGCTCAGAGATTTACTTGCTATATTTCAAGATTCCAAATTCCTGCAAACTAGTAAGAATTGAGGAGGAGCCATAGGAAAGTTAATAACTGGAGGCAAGGAGGGGTTGCATTTAGTTTCCATCCTAGCCTCCAGCCTCATGGCTTGAATGCATGTCAAAATAGCCTGTTGAAAGAGTCCCACGGCTATTCTGCATTGCCTCTGCCTTCCTCTGTCCCACTTCTAGAGTGGCTGCACTGTGGCATCATTTACTTATTTTGCTGGAATACAACTCTCAGCATCCATGTTGGTGGAGCTGTCTGGGGATGATGGGAGTTGTCATCCAACATCTGGAGTGCTGAGGTTGAATAAATCTGTATTATAAGAAGACCCAGCACACCTGTCCTATTCAATAATACCAGCTATTCATAGAAGGGTGATCATAATGCTCATTCATCACTTAATGCTTGCACAGTGCAGCAGTTGCAGGCTCAGGTTGCATGGGTGATTCCTGGATTTTATCTGGGAAGTGGGTTACCTGATGTGGTATCTACATAAGACTGAATGAGAGGGCAGGACATGCCAGCCAGGTGGATGAGCAGGTAAAGGGTAGTCTTGTTCACTGCTGCACATAGGGGAGTGATTGGACAAAATAATCAACCAGCTAGGCTGAGAGATGCAAACTAGGAAGTCCTCAGTTGAACCCCTCCCCAGCCTTTGAGCGTGCCAAACAGGTCATGTACTATTTATTCGTAAAGGTGAATGAATTGCCTCTCAGTCTGGACAATAAGAGTAGCAACAGTAATAACAATGGTTATTATCACATAGTAGACAGCACCACCTCTATTTCTGCTTGTCATCTGAGTCAAGTAAGGTCATTGTGCAGGTGGTGATGGACTGGCTCTTACAGGTCGTGGGTGAGCTGAGGGCCAGTGAATTGCAACTGAATTCCAACAAGATGGAGGTACAATGTGTGAGTGTCTCTTGTGTCCAGGTGTTGGGCGGACAGGCTGTTCTAGATGGGGTTGCACTCCCCTTGAAAGCATAGGTGTGTAGCCTGGGAGCACTCCTTGATGCAGCCTTGTTACTAGAAGCCCAGGTAGCTCTGGTGGCATGGAATGCTTTTTCCTAGCCTAAGCTGGTATGCCATCTGTCACTGTTCCTAGTCAGAGATAGCCTGGCCATGGTGACACATGTTCTGGCAGCCTCTTATTACTACTGCATTGTGCTTTAGAATGGGCTGCTCTCGAAAGCAGTCCAAAATGAAACTGCTGGGGTATCCACAGAGACAGTTGCAAAGAATCATATAACTCTAATCCTCATAAAGTGCCACTCATTGCCAGGTGACTTCTGGTTTGAATTCCTCCTGTTGACTTACAAAGTCCTAAGTGGCTGGGGGCCCAGGTATCTGAAGAAGCCAAAGATACAAAGTCCTCCCCTTTCCATAGTATCCTCGCAACAACCCTGTGAGGTAGGTTAGGCCGAGGTCACCTCCAGGCTGTCAACAGTTTGTGGGAGGGATTCCACAGCATGCCCAAAATTTAGGTTTGTAGAGTTAAAGTGGAACTATAAAGTACTCTATTGCTCTGGCACGATAAATCTGCTTTAAAAAAAAAAGACTTTGTGGCGATGGGGAAATGCACTACAAAGTGTGGAATAAATGACCACATAAATGGAAAGGCATAACCACTGCATAAGCAAATCAGGATGGATTCGGGATGAATCGTTCTTATTATATTATTATTGCTACAATTAATTTAATACATTTATAACAAGACTAAAACCCTAACAAGTGGGCACATGCGGTAAAGACCCATTTATCCCACTGGGAAAGACTGTTGGAACAAGAATATCTTTAGCTGTTTCCAGAAAGAACAGATAGTGAGTGCTTGCCTGTATTGTGACAGGAACACTATTCCACTGCACAGGGGCAACCGCTAGCAAAAGCTCTGCCCTGCATTATTGTGAAGTGAACTTCTGAGGACTTTGGAACTTGCAGGAGAAACTCTCCTGCAGGCTACAAGGATCTACTGGGTGTATAAGGAATAAGGAGGTCTCTCAGGAAACCTGGTCCTGGGCTGTATTGAGACTTGCATGTTGACACCAACACCTTGAACTTAGCCAGGTAGCCAGTTGGCAGCCAGCGCAAATCCTCCAAGCAAAGTGTTGTATGCTGAATGAGAAGGAGCTGTGGGGAAAATAGAAATGCTAGATAGAAAGCCAGCTTGCATTTAAAGGCGTGCCTCTCAAATCCACACTTTCCAAAACAATATGTGAACAGAAACACAATCATCCTTTGGAAATTCGCACTTCTCTGATTTTTGCAGCATGGCTCCCCAGCCAAGAAATGTCGGCAAAAATTATTATATATTATTATCTATTGAATTTGTACAGGTCTCATGGCAGTTACAACATAAAATCACAATACAAAAACACAAATGCATAATAAAAACAAAAACAACCCAATAACGCCCCCTCAAAAAATGCATTTACAGGGGTAAAGTGTTTGCAAAGATTATATATTAGTGAAAATGGCATTCAAAAATGCATAATATCAGGAAAATAGAACCAGTGTGGTGTAGTGGTTAGAGTGTCAAACCAATATCTTGGAGACCAGGGTTCAAAGCCCTACTCAGGGGTGATCCTGCGGTAAGTCACCACCTCTCAGCCTCACCAACCTCACAGTGTTGTTGTGGAGATTAAATGAGGAGAGGGAGAAGCATAACTCCTCAGAGAAAAAGATGGGATATAAATGCAGTAAGCAAATAATAAATAAATGCAAGTATATGTTATTGATTATGAGATACATCAAATAAATTATGGAAAGAGTGCTTTATATTTATTTTAACCTAGGAGTATAACAGGTAACAAAAAGGGTACATCTTTTGGATAAACTTTTGTCTAGCAAGATTATTGTTATTGTTATTGCTCTTTTGTTGTTTTCTCTTATGAGTAATGATCTTATAAATTTTGTGGTATAATTATGAATGCTGTGATTATAAGAATAATAAATAAATGAAAACAGAATAAAGTGCCAGGAAGGAGGCAGTCAGGAGAAACCAGACTGAATGTTTACTGCCGTATAACCTTCCCGCAAACAAGTTGGAACTTATATCCTCAGTAAAGACTGCACACCATCTGACCTCCATGTCAGCTTTGTGTAGGCAAATCGGGATGAATGCTTATTAAACACATCAATTGGAGGAGCCCTGAGAAAAGGTCACTTGTGAGCTTTATGGCAAAGCAAGGATTTAAACTTGTCTCGCCAACAATACTCTAGCCACTATGCAAAACTGCCACCGTCCTCCTGCTTCGTCTTTTTTTCTGTTTCGCCGCTTGCTGCTGCTACTTGTTCAAACTTTGGAAGCAAAACTCAGGGCAAAGTAGTCTGGCATATAGAAATGTGTGGGTAGGTGGGTGCGTCGAGAAATCTTGCCCAGACCTAAGCAACAGGAAGCAGCATTACTCCCCGGCAGCCGAGGAAAAGTGACAGAGGTGGTGGTGGGTCTCCCCCCCCCCAATCCTCTCTCTCTCTCTTTCTGACGTCTCTCTTTCCTCCTTTTCTTTCGCTATAAAGAATTCCAGGCTTGCATTAAGCATCCCAGCAAAAGCAATCCGTCTGGGAGGAGCTGGAGAGAGAGAGAGAGAGAGAGAGAGAGAGAGAGAGAGAGAGAGAGAGAGAGAGAGAGAATAATACCTACACTCTGATCTGTCCAGGACAAGCCCCAGACCTCTGAGAGGCAGCAGCAGAGCTGGTCGCTTCTTCCCAGCTTTGTGCCCCTCCGCCCCATCACAACATTAGATCCTCGTGAGTTCTTGGGAACTTAAAGCGGTTCTTTTTTTCCTTTTCTCTCAAGCATCCTCACCATCCCTTGGAAAGCCTGAGCAAGTTTGGAAGCTTCAAACTTCGGTCCCCGCACAGCGGGAGCTGCAGCAGCAGCACCTGTGCCTCCCGGGCTCACCAGGGAGAGCTCGGGTGAAGCTGCGAAGAAGCCCCCTCAAGCCGAGAGAGAGCTGCTTACTTTCTACCAGAAATAATTGCAGCCCAGTGGAAGACGGCAAGAGAGAGACTTCTGTTGGGGTGTCTGCAAACTTTTGTTGGAGTGACTTGCTGATTATTTTCCCCCATCAAGATCAAAGACCTTCTAGATCAAAAAAAGGATTTTTCTTTCTTTCTTTTTTTAAACGACAAATTAAGATTTGCATCACCAGGAAAAAAGAAAGAGAGATAAACTTTTTTCACCCCAGCAGTGAGTGGAGCAACAAGTGAGAACAGCGCTGGACGTCTCCTCCAGCCCAGACAGCTAGCTTGCTAGCAACTCAGCTTGTTTGCTGCTCAAGCGGGCATCCTTTGGCAGTACTCGTCGTCGTCCTCCTCCTCCTCTTGGCACCTTTCAGAAGAATCCGCTTCAACTGCAACTGAAAATGTTGCCGGACCTCAGGATTTCCCTACTGCTGTCCCTTCTGCATGGACTGCTGTTGCTTCAAGGTAAGAGCGGCTTCTCTGTGCAGACTGATGCATTTTCCAAGTGACTCAATCTGGTTTCATTTCAGTTCTTCTTTTTTAAAACAGGCAAGATCAACTTTCTGGGTTACCTGGCTTTCCCTCTCACTCTCTCCACCTTCCAGGGGCACCTTTGCAAAAAGGCTCCTTGCTTTTATTTCTTCTTCCATCCACCTGATTGGCTGAGAGTTACTTTTTGCAAGGCACTGCAGACTTTGACAGCCACCCTTGACAAACGAGGGGTTTCCAAAGCCAGCCAGGCCACCTTGTTCTGGTGTGAACTGAGGACGAGGTGGATTTGGGTTGAAAGAGCCCTTAGGTGGGATTGGCACTTTGCAAAATCCAATCAGCCACTTTCATGTTGATCTTGGTCAGCGCTCCTTTAAAAATGTGGCCTTTGTTTTCAGCTCCTGGGTTCTTGGGCCTGGCTTCAAGGCATTCCCACTGGGCCAAAACATACACTGTCAGGGAGATTACTGGATAAAAGGAGCGAACAAATATCCCATGTATTTGTCCTCACCCCGTCCCCTCTCCCCTAGCCTCTGCTTCTTTTGCTTTCTTTCTCTGCCATGAATGCAAACATTTTGAGGTTGCTTCACATATGCATGAATATGACTCGGTGGCAGGGCACATGTGGTACATAGCTGTCAACTTTCCCCTTTTCTCGCAAGGAATCCTATTCGGAATAAGGGAATTTTCCAGCTATGATGTGGTACATGCAGAACATCCTGAGTTTAATTCCTTGCATCTCCAGTAATGGGAGACACCTACCTGTGCAAGGAAAGCTGCTGCCAATCAGAATATGCAATGCTCTGATTTAAATGGACCAGTGTGCTGATTCAGCAAAAGGCCAGTGTCATATTCTGAAATATGCCCTGTGGGAGAATTTACCCTCAGTGGGGTAGTGCAGGCTTTGCATATAGAAAGCCCCAAATTCAATTCCTAGCACTGCGCTGGATGGACCAATAAGCTGACTTGGTATAAGGCAGCTTTCTCTCTTCCTAAAGAGACAAGACAGAAACGTAGGATATGTTGGTATCTTGTCAGTGGATAACTGAGCCCTTGTCTGTTGCATGCAACCTGCTGTTCAATGTTTTGCAAAGGACAATAAGAAACTGCTTTGTACCAAGTCAGATCATTGGTTCATCTAGCACAGTATTGCCTTCACTGACCGGCAGCTGTTATTTAGTATATTGGAGCATAGGAAGTAGCTTTATACCAATTGACCATAGGTCTATTTAGCTCAGCATGGCCTTCCCAGGGTTTAGATGGGGGACTACTAGGACACCCTTAGGCACATGTAGCACCCCTCTTCTCTCCTTATCAAGGATCCCTGTTTGATCTCTCTCCCCAAATCATGCATTGACGAAATTTCTCCTGTGCCATCTCTATGTTGCACTTATTTTCTCTGCCCTGCATTGGCTTTTGAAACAGGCTTGTTTGCTTGCTGTTGTTGTTGTTGGGGGTTTTTTTATTTATAAAAACTAAATAGGATGTTTAGTTGAACTGTTTGTATTTATTAAACAGCAGCTGCAACTCTTTACATATCCAAGTGAACAAATGAGACGGCCTTATACCAAGTCAGGCAATTTGTCCATCTAGCCCAGTTATTTGCAACTCTTGATTGGCAGCACCTGTAGTTAATACCCCCTTTTAACTAGAGGTGCTGGCCTGGGACTTCTGCATGGAAAGAAAGTGCTCTGCAATGAGGCTAGAGTCCCTGCATATGGAGGTGGGTAGGTTATATGCCAGGGAGAGGGGAGGAAAAGGAAGCACAGTGCTTAGATGCACGTGTGTCAGAAGCAAGATGTATACAAAGATATGGGGACAGAGTTAACTTCCGGAGCCTCCGATGACAGGGTTGAAACTTGAAGAATTTTGATACACACCTGTGCTTTGAAAGGGACCCCCACAGTCTCCCCAGAATGTGAATGTGGGACAGTAACCCACAGGGGCCAGAACGTCAGTGTTCATTGGGGACAGTTTGAGCATTAACCATTTGCAGTAAAAGGTGCAGTGCCTGAAGTGGTGACATTATAATGCTTTCTGAGGTGGCTTAGTCGTGATGCAGTCATGTGGTGGAGAAGATGTACACATGAACATATGCAGATTGCCCTTTGATTTTGCAGCCAGCCATCATACATTGTGTTTATGTGTATATAAACCCCTCTCATACAGGTCCATGCTTTGTGGCTCTTATGCAGCATCCCAAGTGCACATGTTATGGCAACCATCTCTGCATTTGGTTTGTAATGAGAGTAATTCCCTCTTTGGGTGCTATACTGGTGGCACAGAAACAGCTCTGAAAATCACTCATATATCCACTTTCCAGTAGAACATCTAAAGCAGTGGTTCCCAAAGTGGGAGGTGGGATTACCTAGGGGGTCACTAAGAGGCAAGGGGTGGCAGGGGGACACTGGGAGTGGGTCCTTCTAAAGTGTGATGATCTCTTATTTATGACTGACCAGGCTAGAGCTTGGAGCAAAACACCTTCCTCGCTTCAAATTTAAAGTTTTACTGCTCTTACTGCTTTCAAAGCTTTTTTCTTTGGTCATGTTTTCTTGCATTTGTCTCAAGTCACAAGATAGCCTCTTATTGGGTATAGCTATTGATTTTATTATAAATTAGTTCGGTAAGTAGTTATCTATAAATACTTTAAGCTATAAATTTGCTTCGCATTTCTGTTTTCATTTGTAATAACGCAGAAAAATATATTTCTTGAAATATCTGGCATCACTGGATCAAGTTAACCAGTTTTCTGGAATTAATTAAACTAAATAGTTTTAACTGGATTTGCAGTAAAGGTGTAATTAAATGTTACTGTTTTGAATTTTATTGTGTTATTATCTTCTTTAGTGGGTCATGCAAACTGCAATTCTGAATAATGCTTTTCGTAGGGTAAAGTAGCGGGCACTGGGGATGAGTTTATGAAACCAAGGGGGTGGTGAAATGAAGTACAAAGTTAGTCAATGGCCCATAGGCAGGATTTCACTTGTGCTGGGGGGCTTGGGGGGCAGTTTATGTCAGCCCGGGCATCCATATTTAATGCCAGAATGGAATCTGGAATATATGAAGTAAAAATGCATTCTCTAAGCTGGTGCAGAATGCATCAAATTAGGCATGGTGTGTGACTAAAGGCTTCTAAATAGTCAAGTGTTTGTTCCCAAACAGACTTGCACCCCAAATGACTTTTCTCAAAATTAAGTACTCTTTCCAAAGCCAGACCTGCATTTCAGTAGTGCCACTTATTCTGATCTTGCCAGCCTCAAAATTTCAGTTTGACTTCTGAGGTGTCTGACACGGCACCTGTCTGGATGCATCCTTTATCTGGAATAATTTTCCTGCAAGTTATTCCAGCATTTGGTATTTTCAATTAAGGGGACAGATCCCCAATGCTATTTTTACTTTGGGTTAAAAAAAACTGTCCCCTGCTTCAGTACTCCCAACTTTGAATGCTGATTATATTCTTCACCCTATCTACAAAGCAAGGACCCCTTAGCTATTTCTGGAGGGGTAGTTCTGTTAGTCGAATAAGAAGAATACTTTGCAAGAGGTCAATATGAAATGAACTTACGGGAAGCTGGGGTGCTAAAAAGATATTGGCACATGGGCACACACTTGTACATGTTTTTACCAGCAATGCTTAGGCATGGTATAGGGAATGTAAGGGGTTCTATCACATATTGGGTTTAGAGCATCTTTTGGTTAATGTAGTTTCTGACAAGCAGGTGTCCATGCTGATAGCAGGAGAGAGGCTGAAAGGCAACTTGAGCTTCATGTTCACTCTAGGATGTGTTTATAGTGAGGCTGAGAGAAGGAGAGAATAGTTCTTTCAGAATTAATGGCTCCAAAGTAGAAGAGGGTGGATTGACAGAGGGCTGCTCTTGTGTAGAAGCCTTCATTGGGTATGCACTGCTGTCTAGTTGTACAGATGTGTTCATTACCTATCATAGCACAGAGCTAGGGAGTGACTGTTCCTGCTTAAGTTCTGACAGTTTCATCAAATGGTAATGATAATGGTTGCTGCACTTGTCTGAAGAGAGGGCACTGGTTGGGGGAAATCATTCAGCCTAAAGTTGAACGGTTACAGAGTTCAGTTTGGTTTCCTTTATAGACATAAGTATTTCAAAAATGCTGTTGACTTAATTGGCCAGGATTTTCCTAGATATGTTTCCAATTACAATGCTTTTTCTCTTTGCTTTGAAGCAAAGCAGAACTGGAGATGTGCACATTAATACCGGGGGCTGGCACTAGATGGCGGTTCCTGCTAGAAACATTTTCGTAGTTGCTACAGATGCTAGGTGGGAATTCAGGAAGATGCCTCCTATTGCTGCACTACTGCATTTGCACATAATGCCAAACCATCATTTAGTGCTTCTGTGCATGCGCCTCAGGCTTATGTCCTCCCTCACTTTCTTCTCGGCATGGCTGCATGGAAGGTCTTGTAAGCTTTTGCTTCCAGGTTCATCTAGCTGCATTTTGAGGTTAAGTCCAAGACTGGACAACCTGTGGTTAATTTTAACAATGGTTTGTCTGAGCAAGCCACCTTTGAACTGTGGTGTATTCCAGTAAACCATAAATATTAACCTCATTTCTCTGTTTGGACATCATGCAAAAGTGTTGTTAGTAGAAAACTGAGGGAAATGCTCCTCTTCATAGCTGCACCAGGGAATCAGAGCTTGAGACTTGTGCATATAACACTAACCCACAACTTGATATTATCTGCAAGTCAGGCCAGCTGTCCATCTAGCCCAGTACTGTCTACTCTGATTGACAGCAGTCTTCCATGGTAGGTCACCACCTACATGACTTTTTTATTAAAAGGGGGGGGGGCAGAAGAAAGCTGGCAATGTCAGTTATCAGATCTGAGACCTTCTGCAAGCAAACACCCACTACCTGCATTCATTTAATATTCAGTAGAATGGAGTAAAGACAGTAGTAGATGGGCATTACCTTTTGCAATTACTGTCCCCCCTCCAGTAAAT